TATATTGTGTTTTTTATTAATATTGTTAATTTATTTGGTACCTACTATAATTACCACGATTATTACTCCGTTTTCATAAGGCCCACCTAATGACTACAACGATTAGGTAAATTACGATATTGCAAAGTTTTAATGAAATAAATAAAAAATGTGTATGAATATTTTAACTAATTGTACTAAGAATTTTTCTTTCATTCTTAACCCTCTCAAAAATTAATAAGCACGCCCCCGATTTGCTGTCAACTGTGCTTACTTCTACTCTCAATCATTATTGGTTTTAATATAGTCAATTTGATTACTTCAATATTGTGTAACACACCGTTTATCAAAAAATACTTATTCACTACGAAAATTTAAAAAATAGTTTCAACTTACCGTGCTGCATTATATTGGTGTAAAAATCGATTAGTTCCCAAGCATAACTGAGGTCTCCAATAATTTGCAAGTTTATGAGCACGTCTTCTTTCACGCTCATAGTCCTTATCATCTGATCCAGGAATTTCCTGGTCTCTGATAAGAACTGCACTATCTGCATGTTACTGTCCAGTTGATGGAACGTCTGCACCTCCTCCAAGGCTTGGATAAGCTGCACTATTTTCCGTGAGGATGCACTGTCACCCTAACAAAAAATATTTCCCAGAGTTTAAGATATATCGGTCAAACTTGACGATCTATAAAAAGTAGGTTTCAAGAATGCTCCGACTCTAGAGATGCTGAATAACTAACCTGGTCCAAGGACTTCACTTGTTTGGAGATCTCTACGAACCAAGCTTGAAGTTTCTCGTTCTTCTGGATTCTCGTCAGAGGCTTAGTCCCGCTGAACACTTCCGAAATTTCCACCAGCCTGTTGACGCTCTCTTCTTTGAGCTCCTCCCATTGGGTTTCTTTATCTGACAACAACTGCTTGTACAAATCTTTGACGACAAGCTCAAGCTGTGCCGTGTTTGACAGCAGCTTGAAGAGGGCCCCCTGTTCGCATTTTGATTCTGAGATCACCAGCTCCCTCAGCTGTTTCAGCCTTTTATTCCTGTCTGCGTGTCCCGGTTTCAGGATGGTGTGAAGCATCAACCACCTTACGGTGACGTTGCATTCTCTCAAAGTGTTTGTTATGCTGGTTATGTCTTTGAGGAGATTGTCTCTCGTTATGGTTCCCTCTTTCAACAAGCCACCCGTGACTTTCAGTAAGGTTGGTATGCAGGAGCCGTGGGTGCTGGAGAATTCTTTGACGTTGACGGTCTCTAGAGTGTTGTACAGGGCTGATTTGGCGGCTTTGAAGTTTTCCCAGCTGTCTACGATGTTCACCTGAAAATTAGAAGACCAAAACATTATATTGGTCAAACGGGGGAACCTTTCCCCGAAGAATAAAAGAACATAGAAGTAGTTTCCTAAATGTGAAGACCAATTCCATTTTTACAAACTATCTGTTGATAGAGGAGTACGAGTCCAATAACGATAATGACTTATTTCATTTGAAAGGAAAGGTTTCAAATCAAATTAAATCTAAATACACCTTATTGTCAGAAGATTTTGCATCACATTGACAAAGATTTGTAAGTATAACTTACATAACTAATGGTCTATAGATAAAAACTGGTAATTTACAAAAGTTTGAATAAAGCTTATGTAATACTTGTACGGCCCCTCAGAAATATTTTACAATGTCATTAGAATTTCTAATAGGTAATGTAATTTACCGTATATCCCATATAGAGTGATATCACCCAATTGTCAGGAAAGTATTTATCAACAATTTCTCTCATCATGGCCGTTTGGAAATGAAGAATATTACTTGAAAAAAACAGGCAAATGTACAACATTGAAGCTTGGTTTGCCAGAGCAGTACTTCTATGTTTTGGAAGGGGGTACACAGTTATTTGACCATATATATCGTCAGATCGCAACCTGCCAATGACATAGTCTATGTAAGTTGATTTAATTGGAATTCTCCTGAAAAACAAAACATGGAATGAACATAGGAAGTATAAATGATAAATCAGACAACCAACTTGAAATAATCCTCAGGATAGGTAGGTGGTTTTTTATTACTACCATAGCCAGTGTCTCTCAGTAGCTTGCAGACTTCATCGATGCAACTTTGGGTATCCTGTCTCTGGGGAGCGTACCGGTAATAGGAGACTAATAACCTTTCTCTGATAATTCCTTCCAGATGAGTGTCAACGATGAGAAGCATTAAGCCATAGAGATAAAGAGCTTCACACTGAAAAACAAACCGGTGACATATGAAATCTGATGTAGTATAATGATTAGTTACCATAACTTGTTTTCCCTCAACATCAATAAATATACTCTCTAGAGTTGTGTGGATATGCTGGCCTTCTTCTAGTTCCTCTAAGAACTGGTTCAAATCGATTATGTATGTGTGGATGCTCTCGAACACTAAGTAAAACCTGTTGATTATTTCTATATGATTATCACGGAATTCTTCATCCAGGTCCCTGAGTAACTGAAATGTGGAAAAACTTTCTGTGTTCACTTGGAAGAAAAGTGGATTTGATAGCGTTACCTACCTCGTTATTTTCAATTTTCTGTTCGTGGAACTCCGAAATTTTAAAATAACTGAAATCCAATATGATATCACCATATTTTTGAACATCTTGTTTCGTTTCCAATCTAGAATAACCAGCAAGGTTTCAATTATTCAAAATTAATAATTGTTCTGAAGAACTATTCAGATGGGGTGACAATTAGTGCTTTTACCTATATAACTTTGGTACATAATCTTTCAGCCTCAACAGCTCCGCAATTATTGCATTTCCTCTGGATACAAGATGTAAAATAGTTTGACCACAAATATTATTTTCCGCTAGGAAATCGGAAGACATTTTTATAAAGTTGTGTTTTATTTGTAATCATCCGATTTGACATGAAAACTGAATTCAAAAACAAAGTTTTTTAGGTTACGTGAGAATTTTCGCGGTTATGTAGTGCCATCTGTTGGTTGAAACCAAAAAACATTATTGGTTGATGGTTCTAGTCGCCTCGATCGTCAATATTAGGAAGTAGAAATATTGTATCAACATATATGCAGTGACCTTTTCTAAGTTCTAGCCAAAAAGATGTAGGCACAGATGCGTTTAAAATAGTAACCCCGCTCGCGCAAAATTGTTCAAGTCTTAACTGTGCGACTACAGCTGACAGTTCGGAAACCGTTCAAATAACGAATCCGAATACGATAAAATGAATTTAGCGATTTGGCTTGCATCCACGAATTGATAGATGTCTTTATGCTTGTCTTCGCCAGCCCACAGAGAGGTTCTGGATATTTATTTAAATTTCATACTCATCGTTAATTTTTTCCTACTTTTTCAAATTTATTTTCTTTTTTCAACTCATCATATTTTTCGTATTCCATTGATCAAATTTTTTATTGTTTTTTTTGTCTCAAATATATTTCCTTGCTATCCCGTAATCATTCAGAGTAAGTTTTTGCACCCAATGAGCTATTTGGCAAGGATGTGTTTATTTATCATTTGGAAATTTGTGATCGGAACTACTCAGGGAACAAAGACGTCCTGAACAATTAGGTGGAATGTTATCAACAAGTTTATGTGTTAAAAGCTCGCAAAACAAAATTGAAACTCCTATAACAAGCCAAAATCAAACATTCATCTCTCTGACACTTAAATTGCTGTTTAAATGTAAAACTGTCATTTTGTCATCTCGCCTCCAGCGCCCTTTGACGGCCACGGAGCCACGCCGATGGTGGGGCATAACCTCACTTTTTGTTCTGTTTTTTGATAAATTGGTGCTTTCGATGTCTTCTCGATTGCCTTTGGTAGTAATTCTGGGAGCCACTGGTACCGGAAAAACTAAACTTTCTTTGGAGTTAGCGAAGAAATTTGGCGGCGAGATAATCGGAGCAGATTCTATGCAGGTGCCAAGATATAATTTATTGTTCTTTTCAAGAATATCATCTATTTTAGGTGTACAAAGGTCTGGATATCATCACCGCCAAAGCCACGCGCGAGGAACAATCCGCTGCCCCTCACCACATGATTGATATTCTCGAACCCCACGAATTATTTACTGTAACCCAGTATAAAAACAGGGCTCTGAAAATAATCGAAGAGTTAATCGACAACCAGAAGCTACCCGTCGTTGTGGGAGGTACGAATTATTATATTGAGTCTCTGCTCTGGAAGATATTAATCGATGACGGGTCTTACGCCGAGGTGCCTGGAGTACTGCCCAACAATGAACACGAGTTACCTAGTGAGGAGCTGCATGAGAAGCTCAAAGCACTGGACCCGTCCATGGCAAGGCGGCTACATCCAAACAATAAAAGAAAGATTTTAAGGTTAGCGAATTGCTAGTTTATATTTTGAAATTTTCAAGTGTAATGTGAAATTTGAATTAACAAATTTGGTGGCTCCATCTATCATCGAATGCCCGAGTTTCTAATGTGCTGAGCGAGAAGGTTTCTGTATATTTTTTCATGATCTTTTTCTTTAAATTATTGGGTGCCGTATAGTAAGTCAGGTGTTGGTTTATAGATGTCGCTGCATGTTCAGAAGGTTTCTGTATATCATTTTTCTTGAGCTTTTTCTTTAGGATGCTAGGTGGCTTTGAGCGTACAGTTTTCTTTCATTATATAAAATTTTCTGAAGTAGGTTAGGTATTGGTTTATAGATGGCAATGCGTGTTGTTTTCTTTTGAAATTAAATATTTTGTGACACAAATATATGATTACAAAAATATAAATATCGGGAAAAATGCACAAATATTTTGAATTGTATGTTTTGATGTCGGGTCATTTTTTTATTTCAGATCTCTTGAAATTCTTTATAAAAATGGAAAAAGACACAGCGAAATTTTAAAGGAGCAACAATCAGCTAAAGATGCATCCCGATCAGGTGGTGGTTTGCGATTCGGCACTTCTCTAGTATTGTGGTTACAGTGCAATCAGGTAATGTTTGTTTTTTATATTAAATGAAAGATAAGATAGGATAGGATAGAATAGAATTTTGGTTGTTCATAAAATCGCTTGAAAAATATATAAGATTTGTGACATCTGCAAATAACTGAAGTTTTCCATGAATTTTCAATTGTGTCATTGAATAATTATAGACCAGGAACCCAACAGGAATAAGAATAGATCCTTGCGGTAACTCCACAAAATATCCTCTCGGAAGTGTTCCTTTAATTCTCTATATACATATTCATAGAAGTTGAGTCTACTTTGAAAATTACAGTTTTCCCAATTCTAAAGTTTCATTTCTGCGAAAGAAAGTTTTTAGCTTTCTAGTACTCCATTTTGATACAAAAAAATGTGGGAACCTTCCAGAGAAAGGAAGAAAGCAATCGATTTCAAAAGAAGTAACTATACATGGATGTTTAGATCATGCAAAGAAGTAACTTTCACACAAACTGGAAGAAAAACCGCTCCTGAAACAGCTACTTTCATGTAAACGTTGAGTTACACGAAAGAAGATTGTTTTGTTGTTATTTAAAGTATTTTTTCAGGATATTTTGCACAAGAGGTTGGATGATCGTGTGGATAGCATGTTGGAACAGGGACTTCTGGAAGAATTGTTGAACTTTCACAAATTGTACAATCAAGAACGGATAAATAGTGACGACAAGTTAGTAAATACTACTACAATATTTCACATAATTCTCCCATCAAAATTATTTTCCACAAAGAATATTCGAATTTTATCTGTTTCTAGGGAGCTTGATTACACTAAAGGGATCTTTCAGTCCATTGGATTCAAGGAATTCCACCCATATCTGATGTTGAACGAGGAAGTACGCTCAACGGATGAAGGCGAGAAGAGACTGAGGGAGGGCATAGATCAGCTGAAACTGGTGACGAGGCGATTCGCAAGGAAACAAAACCGGTGGATCGCCAACAGGTTCCTTAGCAGGACCGACAGACAGGTAAAGATTCAGCTCAGTCAATCGTTGACAGATTATTCATTTCATATTTCATCACGCAAGAAATTCTTGCTTGCTTATACAGGGCTTTTCATGATGAGCGTTAATTAGCCGTTTCTGACAAACTATTGAACGGATCAACCTGAAAATTCCACAGTATGCATAAGTCAATATGACCTACACGCCTAAAATATTTCAGACGAAGCGGCGTTGTCGCTTGTACTATTAAGTAGCGGCTTCTTTGATTTTTCAAATGGAACACCCCGTATATAATATCATATTATGATTCGTTATCACTTTGTCAACAAATTCATATACTATTTCCCTATACCTATCTATTACCGTTTAGAAGATATAAATTAATTTCGATATTTTTTTTACCAAACATGAACTTTTATAAATGCTGATAATCTTGAACTCTCTTGCACTAAAACGATCAAATTTGAAATGGAGTGGAGTGATACTATGAGGATC